TGCTCTCTAGCAAACTTCAGACGAGCCCGGAAAAGTACTGGGTTAAGCAAGGGGACACGTCTGGCACTGCAGGATCTGGTGGCGTAGTGTGTTACTGATGGTAGCCTTTGTTACGTTGGTCCCAGCTCTCTGCAGGTCATTCACTAGGTCCCCCCGTGTGGTCCTGTGATTTTTGCTCACCGTTCTTGTGATCATTTTGACCCCACGGGGTGAGATCTTGCGTGGAGCCCCAGATCGAGGAAGATTATCAGTGGTCTTGTATGTCTTCCATTTTCTAATTATTTCTCCCACAGTTGATTTGTTCACACCAAGCTGCTGGTCTATTGCAGATTCAGTCTTCCCAGCCTGGTGCAGGTCTACAATTTTGTTTCTGGTGTCCTTCAACAGCTCTTTGGTCTTCATCATAGTGTAGTTTGGAGTGTGACTGTTTGAGGTTGTGGACAGGTGTCTTTTATACTGATAACAAGTTCAAACAGGTGCCATTGATACAGGTAATTAGTGCAGGACAGAGGAGCCTCTTAAAGAAGAAGGTACAGGTCTGTGAGAGCCAGAAATCTTGCTTGTTTGTAGGTGACCAAATACTTATTTTTCACCATAATTTGCAAATAAATTCTTTCCAAATCAGTCAATGCGATTGTCTGGATTTTTTTTCTCATTTTGTCTCTCATAGTTGAGGTCTACCTATGATGCCAGTTACAGGCCTCTCTCATCTTTTTAGGTGGGAGAACTTGCACAATTGGTGGCTGACTAAATACTTCTTTGCCACAGTGTACTTAATCATTTATATTTGCTTGGACAATATATATATATATATATATATATAGTTGTGTTAAAAGAAATAGCAGTCAGACATCACTAACCTCATCAATCACTATTTTTGGTAGAAATGATATTTCTACATGGCAAATAATTTACTAGCAGGTGTAGTAGAGTAATAGAAATCCAACTAACCCAACAGTCATGACATGCATGCTGCTGATTCTGTGTAATTGAAATGGGCATGTTCAAAAATAATAGCAGTCTGGAGTTCTATTAGTGAGGTCAGTCATTCTTTGAAAAACAGGTGGCAATTGTTGCCTTTGTTTAAGGAAGGAAGGCAGCAAATGTTGTACATGCCGGTTACAGTGCATTTCTCTCTGAAATTCTGAGGAAAATGGGTCATTCCAGTCATTGTTCAGAAGAACAGCGTACTTTGATTAAAAAGTTGATTGGAGAGGGGAAAACATATAAAGAAGGGCAAAAATGATAGGCTGCTCAGCTAAAATGATCGCAAATGCTTTAAATTGGCAACCAAAACCTGAAAGACGTGGAAGAAAGCGAAAAAAACTACCATTCGAATGGATAGAAGAACAGCCAAAATGGCAAGGACTCAGCCAACAATCAGCTCCAGGAATATCAAAGAAGGTCTAAAGTTACCTGTGAGTACTGTTACAAGTAGAAGACGCCTATGTGAAGCCAAGCTATATGCAAGAAACCGCCGCAAAGTCCCTTTGTTGAAAAAAAGACATGTGCTGAAGAGGTTACAATTTGCCAAAGAGCACATTGACTGGCCTAAAAAGAAATGGCGCAACATTTTGTGGACTGATGAAAGTAAGATTGTTCTTTTTGGGTCTAGTGGCCGGAGACTGTTTGTCAGACAACCCCCAAACACTGAATTCAAGCCACAGTACACTGTGAAGACAGTGAAACATGGTTGCGCAAGCATCATGATATGTGGATGTTTCTCATACTACGGGTGTTGGGCCTATTTATCGCATACCAGGGATCATGGATCAGTTTGAATACATCAGAATACTTGAAGAGGTCATGCTGCCTTATGCTGAAGAGGAAATGCCCTTGAAATGGGTGTTCCAACAAGACGACCCCAAACACACTAGTAAATGTGGAACATCTTGGTTCCAGACCAACAAGATTGGCGTTATGGAGTGGCCAGCCCAATCCCCGGATCTTAATTCAATAGAAAACTTGTGGGGTGACATCAAAAATGCAGTTTCTGAAGCAAAGCCAAGAAATAAAGAACTGTGGAATGTAGTCCAATCATCCTGGACTGGAATACCTGTTCACAGGTGCCAGAAGTTGGTTGACTCCATGCAACACAGATGTACAGCAGTTCTTAGAAACAGTGCTTATACAACGAAATATTAATTAAGTGATTCAAAGGAAAGCAAAATCTTCAAACATTTTTCAGTTTTATGTAGTGAATGTTTGAGTTTGTAAAGAAGAATACAAACACTGCTATTTCTTTGAACAGTCTAATATTCACTTTTCTTCAATTTTTGTAGAGGAACAACACAAATTTGATGTATTTTTCTTCATGTTTTGATTTGGAATAGAATGTGTAGTGTTCCCAATGCATTTGTGTGTATGGAAATATAAGCTATTAGAAGGATTTTGAGCTTTATTCACTTTTTTCAACACACTGCTATTATTTTGAACACAACTGTGTATGTATGTATGTGTATGTATGTGTATATATATAATCAGTGTTAGTAAACTTAACGGGCGATTTTAATTTAGAAAGAAATTATTCCCTGTAAAGAGTGTTTCCATAGTCCTGTGTGGCTGTAAAGTCAGCCCAGTAAAACCAGGTCTTCCCGATTCACTCACTTTGGTTATGTGAGGCAACACAATTTTCCATAGAGTAGAGGTTTATAACCACATGGTTAAAGGGTTGAGGTTTGCTTCTATTGAAGGGAAATACATGTCTTAGCTATGTTAAGGGCCCGTTCACATTAAATGGACAGCTGCCTCACAGTAAAACCGCAGCAATCTGTTCTGGCTGCAGTGAGCCGGCAGTAGGGGGCAGTGTGGTGTGCAATTCAGCACATCACACAGCTCCTCTTAATTTTTTTTGTACAAACTTTATTTGACATGCTCAAAAATGACTCTCCGTTCATGTTATCGTAGAGTAGCACAGTGAAATGCTATCATGTCCAGTGTGCTGCAATAAAATGCAGCATGCCTGCATTTTATCTCCGATAACTGCAGTGCAGCTCTGGGCTGTATTTCAGTGTGAATAGGAAACATTTATTTTATTTCAGGTACTTATATAGCGCCATCAATTTACGCAGCGCTTTACACATATATATTGTACATTCACATCAGTCCCTAACCCTCAAGGGGTGTACAATCTAAGGTCCCTAACTTACATTCATACACATATTAGGGCCAATTTAGACAGGATCCAATTAACCTACCAGCATGTCTTTGGAGTGTTGGAGGAAACCGGAGTACCCAGAGGAAACCCACGCAGGCACAGGGAGAACATGCAAACTCCAGGCAGGTGGTGCCATGGCTGGGATTCGAACCAACGACCCTAGTACTGCTAGGCGGAAGTGCTAACCATTTAGTCACTGTGCTGCCAACATTTTTCTATGTGTCCTAGCAGTGGCCTCAATTTTGCAGTGCAGAAAAACGCCAATCACTGCACTAGTGTGAAGTGGCCTTTAAGTATATCAACAGGGAGTGTTTGTACCTATATCAAAACCAAAGGGTTTAGGATCAGCAAATATGCCTTGGAGTTGATCCCCAAGTTAGTGTCTGTGAGGCTCTTGCTGTAGGTTCGTATCTCATCCCAGAAGTTTCTGAGAATTGAGAACTCCCAGAAGATATGTAGTGCTGTACCTGGTTACTTCTGACATTGCCAACATAGCAGAGAGACCCGCAGATAACCTGTGTAGGGTTGAATGTACCCTATATCATCTCAATGAGATTTTGAAACCGGATTCTTATATTTTTTTATATGCTATTGATGATTTGTGGGCAAATTTTAAAGGAGGATATTCCATTGAACATTTGACAGTGAGAGTCTAAGATCCTTTCCCCATTTAAGAACGTACTGTGGGACATCGTTTTTCTAGTGGAGCAGGGTCCAGACATGGGCGTTCAAATGGGGTAGGCAGCATAACAGACTTCTTTGCCCTTTTGGTTTGGGTAACGATAGGAGAACATTTCTGATATGGGCAGCTCTCCCTAGTAATAGAGGGGACCAGTCAAAGCCTGTATTTTTGGTATCCTCAATCTGAGCTGCCTGGTACAAAAGAGGAATGGCTAAGAATTCAGGTGTAAAAGGAGGTGTGTGTTATTTGACACAAGTCTCCCTTCTTCGATCAAAGTTTGAAGGGTTACTCCTATCAAGAAGTGTTGTCTCGCCGTTGCTCTATGTGAGTGTGGTAATGAAAGTAGGTCCTGTAGTGGTATATTTAGCTGGTGCTGTTCCAGATGAGCCCATAATTTTATGGTGGTATATTTGTTCCATTCAATAACCTTTGACATATGCACAGCTCTGTAATATAGTACTGGGTCTTGGAAGTATATTCCTTCTTGCAATATGTGTTTAGCTAGATTGCTAGTATTCACCCTATGCTGTTTATTTGCCCAAAGAAAGTTTCTAAACTCATTCTGAAATTGATGGACTTAGCTTTTGAACCCCTCAAGTTCCAGAGTGTTTCCTTCAGCTGGCCATACATGGTTCAGATTTTTTCATTCAGCCAGTGGTCTTGCTGAGCACAGAAATTAGTAAATGGTGACATTTTTTTTTTCTTCTTATGAGGGGTCTGGATTAGGCCATGCTTCTATGGAATATAGTGTAGAAGGATTTGAAACCCAAAAGCTGGTTGACTAACTAAAAGCAGGCATGTACAGTGCTACAGATGGCATGGAGCCACCAATATTGTTTTAAAAAAAAGCATTGGGATAAATAGCTGCTGTCCAGGTGACATTGGAAAGACACTAAGACAAATTACCACTCAAAGGCTAAAGAAACCCAAGTCAAAGCAATGTGTATCAAAACCCAACATTTTTTTAAGTGGGAAACTGATTTGAATATAATTCATCCTGACTCTTATACTCTGTTACCAGAGAGACTGTACAACAAGAATAACTCGGTTTCTCCAGAAAATGTATGTTTAGCATTTGCATGAGAGATGTGTTATTCTAAAGATAGAAAAATCTATGCACGTAAACTATATTCTTTAAATTTTTCACAGATCATTGCAAAAAGAGGGGCTGATTATATTTTGAAACATGCTCCTGAGGTGCACAAGGAACTTCAAGGAATGTCTGTGAAAGAAGCTGTTCTAAATTTCATTAGAGAGTCCTGTGTTCTGGAAGATGTACCTGTTCATTATTACAGACTACTAAAGGTAAAAGGTTAATATATCAGTATTTTATACACATTGCTATATATTAGTAATGCGTTACTTACGAATGCATATTCAGTCATAAATGGATTAAGCCTGAACTCCAGGCAAATTGCTGAATGCACAGCTGTCATTTACATAGAAAAGTGACAGCAGAAAAAGACCGAGTAGTCCATAGAATGCCCGTTTTTGTGTTTGTGTGTTCGTTCTTGGGGGAGTTGGTTTACTTCTTTTTTGTTGGAGTATTGTTGGAGTTTTGTTGTTCCAAGCATGTTTGAAGCTATTTACTGTAGACTGGCTCACTACCTCTGCTGGAAGTTTAGTCCAAGCATCAATTACTCCCTCCCTCCCTATCTTCAGTATCTCACAGAAGTGAGTACACCCCTCACATTTTTGTTAATATTTTATTATATCTTTTCATGTGACAACACTGAAGAAATGACTTTGCTACAATGTAAAGTAGTGAGTGTACAGCTTGTATAATAGTGTACAGTACATTTGCTGTCCCCTCAAAATAACTCAACACACAGCCATTAATGTTTAAACCACTGGAAACAAAAGTGAGTACACTTTATAATCCATTATAGAAAGCTTTTTTTTTGTTTCCCTTTTGGGATCAATAATTTATTACTATATATGAAAGCTGATCGTTGTAAGCTCCAAGGCCCTCCTATCGCTCTTGTATTGAATTGTATTGTTGCTGTATTGTCTCCCTTTTATATTGCAAAGCGCTGAGCAAACTGTTGGTGCTATATAAATCCTGTGTAATAATAATATAATAATAATTGTAAGCATCTCTGTGCTCCTTAATGCAGAGTGGGGATAATGTGATACAGGAGATGTGTTACTTGCCAGATTACCAGGTAAAAACAGAGGGAAAATAGCCTAAAAAAAAGATAACAGATGCAGCCACCACATCTAATGATTAGTAAGCTGTAATATGTTACCTTTTTGGGTTTGGGTTTAATACTGCTCTAAGCCAATGTGGTGCATTTGCAATTATGTCAGTACTATACTTGTTGCATGCATCCGCTCTACTTCTTTTATTTGCTTAGCGTATCTTGCACATCTGGTTAAAAAAAAATACTGGACCAGCAAATTTACTTTAATACTAACAATTCTTGGTTTGTGTCGAGAACTGGATATTTGTCTATAATCATCTTGAAGTCCACTTGCTAACTTGAGTATGTTCCTCATTTCTTCTTCTGGCCCGTCTTTTGTAACTGGTTTTAAATGTTATTGATTGCTTGAAATAGGCAGCGTAATGTAACTAAATTGTAGAAGCTACTTTTTCAGTTACCTTTTTAACTGGTGGAAAAAGCAGCATGTGTTTAAGAATAACTTTGTACCTGCCGGAGAGCTCTGCTGCTTGCTGAATAAGGCTACTTTTCACATTGATCCGCCGCTGCTCTTTTGGTGCATTTTTTAAAGGACGTGACTTAAAAACTGCATCAAAAACTCTTCTCGGGTGTGTTTTTGAGGGGGTTTCTATTGATTTCAATGGGAAGAGGTGTGTTTGGTGCATTTTTTTTTAACTGAACAAACATGCTGCAAAAATGCTGCAAGCAGGATTTTTTACACCACAAAGAAGGTGCAACTCCCCAGTGTGAAAACAATCATAGACCTACATAGGGAAGCATTTTTCATTAGCTTTTCTTGTGCTTTTTTTTTTTTTTACCACAAAAGCATTTAAAAAACTCAGTGTGAAAGCAGCCTAAAAGTGTCAGTAGTGTAGGACTTTTGTAAACCCATCATTTGTGAATGGTGGCAGTCCTTGTACGTTCATATGTGTGTCAGTGATATCAGGTTTGGAGTACTTTTGGATCCGTCTTTATTGAATAGAAGTTTGGCTATTTTCAGAAAAAGTACACACTTTTTTTTTTTTTTCTTCACTCTCACTCTCCTCTTAATTCACAAAATCATACTCAATGTAATCAATTGCTTTTTTACAATTGAAAAATCGACATTTGCTTTCAGTAAAGGTATAAATTAAATTTACTGCACACATTATTTTATAATTTTATCATACACTGGTGTAGGTATTTTTTTTTTTTTTGGTTTTATTTAGTTGTACGTTAAGTAAAATTTACATTACTGCAACAAGGACCAAACAGAATTTATAGATTATGTTGTATTATATCATAGTACTAATTTGTTTGGTCATCTTGTCCCACAGTTTGAACTTCTTAAAGATATTCTATCTATGAAAGGGCTGCAGTTTGAAGAATGTGTTTTATGGTTTCTGCAAGGAGAGTTTGCCCTTATTGATATAAAGTAGGAAGAATAATTAATCCAAGGATTGTTATAAACATATCAGATTCTGATATAATTTTTTCCATGACTAATAGCCTGTTATGTTTGAGCTTTACAGATGTTTACTTAAAGACAAAACCAGCGTCACAGATGGACTGTATCTGTGGCTGTCAGTGGCGGGGTGACAGTTGCAATGAGTGGAGCATGATGGCTCTACACTCTGAAAGATCCCAGGCAGGAATTCCCCAGGCAATGGGGGGAGATAAAATGCTGTAACAGCAGGCAGTTGATTTGAGCGATCCCACACAGTGACAGATTCAACACAACATATCGCCACCAACACTGACACAGATCAGCAGGCACTAGAAGAGCAGGCTGTGGGATCATGATGATATCCTCACTGACTGACACATTGTACATGTAATGGAAGTCCGGCCAGCCAGGTCGCACTCACACAGACACAAGCTATTAGAGTCAGACATTACCTTCCTCCGCAGGCGCACCTCCACCTCCACTGAAGAATGGGAAGAGAAGGGCTGGAACTCCACAGTGATCAGCAGCTGCCACCCAGCTTGCAGTAAGGGACTGAGTCGGAGAGGAACACTGGAAGAAGTGGTAGCTCAGCTGCTACACTGGCCCCAGACACCCGGCATCTTCCTACCCTCTGCCGCCCCTCCTTTCAGCTGAAGGATCATTCATGAAGTGGCAGCATCCCACACAGAGTGTCGGCCTGCGCTATGCCCAGGTGCCCCTAGGTGGCAGTGCATCCTAGGCAGCCACCTACGGTAGTTTGCCTAGTGGAAGCACTGGCCCTGCTTATAGTGATCAATTGTTTGGTGCAAAAAAAATGTTTTATAAAGGCCGCAAAAATTGAAAACGAATGACAGATTGCAAAAGATAGCAGGACCAACCCCAAAAAAATTCTTCAAATATATTAATAGTAAAAAGGTCCAGTTTGAGCATGTAGGCCCTTTACAAAATAATCTATAGTGGGTGACTGGGGACAAAAAGAAGGTAAAATTTATTAAACAACTTCTTCAGCTCTGTGTATACAAAGGAGCATGGGGGAGCTCTTGTCCATAATGGGCATGGTATTGACACTCCAGATGATCCACATTGGCTCACAATTGATATGATCCAAAAATATTTAGACAGAATAAAAGGTGAATAAAGCACCTGCACCGGATAGCATACACCCATGGGTCCTTAAAGAATTGAGCTCTGTCATTTCAAAGCCATTGTTTCTAATTTTTAGGAACTCTTAATGACTGGCATAGTACCACTGGATTGGTATAAGGCCAATGTGGTGCCTATATTTAAAAAGGGGTCAAAATCTTTACCAAGTACTTATAGACCTGTTAATTTAACTTCTATAGTTGGGAAGATACTGGAGACTTTAATAAAAGTCCACATAGATGAGTTCTTGCTGGAAAAAAATATTTTAAGCAACAGACAGCATGGATTCATGAAAGACCGAAGTTGTCAAACAAATCTGATTTTTTTTTTTATGAGGAGGTGAGCAAAACCTTGGACAGAGGGGTGACGGTGGACGTGGTGTACTTGGATTTTGCAAAAGCGTTTGACACAGTTCCCCACACACGGCTAATGTGTAAGGTAAAGTCTACGGCTTTGGAAAAATCCATATGTAAACGGATAGAAAACCAGCTAAAAGATCGTATTCAAAGTAATGGTTAATGATTCATACTCTGGTCTAGGGTTGTCAGTGGTGTACCCCAAGGTTCAGTGTTGGGACCCTTACTTTTTAATATATTTATAAACGATATAGGGTCTGAGATTAAATGTAAGGTTATTCACTTGGGGGCTAAGAATATGCATGCATCATACATACTAGGGGGAGTACAACTGGGGGAATCAATGGTGGAGAAGGATCTGGGTGTTCTGGTAGATCACAAGCTTAATAATGGCATGCAATGCCGAGCTGCAGCTTCTAAAACAAGGGGGGATATGATCAAAATGTATAAATACATCAGTGGTTCATATAGTGAACTCGGTGTAGAGCTATTCACCCTGAGGTCATCACAGAAGACAAGGGGGCACTCTTTACCTCTGGAGGAAAAGAAATTTAATCTCCAAACACTGAAAGATTTCTTCACAGTAAGAGCTGTGAAAATGTGGAAGAGTTGGTTCTGATTGCTTTAAAACAAGGCTTGGATTCTTTCCTAGATACACAGAATATAACTAGATACTAACATTTATAGGTAAAGTTGATCCAGGGAATATCCGATTGCCTCTCGGGGGGGATCATGAAGGAATTTTTGTTCCCTGCAGGAGCAAATTGGATCATGCTTTGCTTGTTTTGTTTTTTTTTCCTTCCTCTGGATCAGCTATGGGTATAGGATTATAACTTTTTTTATAATGGTTGAACTGGGTGGACTTTTGTCTTTTTTCAGCCAGACTAACTATGTAACTCACCAGATAGATTGCAAACAAACCAAATCTACCCTGTCTTACAACAGAAGGTTTTGTTGCACACATTTTCAAATATATGTGGAATCCACAGTGCTCATGTCAAGGCTCCTCTGTATACCGTGGTCCCAAAGATCCATCAATGTTACATTACAGAAACGCCATCAAATATGGGAACTCACAATACAAGTGTTTACGCAGCATATTATTGCATATTCTGTTATATTCTTTTTAATGTTTAACTATGATAGCATTCCTTCATTTTTATATTGAATAAAAGCTCTTTTCTTATTATCTATAGCTTTTTTTAACTTTTGCAGTGT